ACCGCGCCGTTGAAATTAATTACTACTGGCAATTAAACAGGCTGATTGACAATAATTGGCGTTGGCATCGACAATCGTTGGCAATTAAGCAGCCTGATCGACATCGCCAGCTTCGTGCAGACCACAGGAGACATTAAACAGTATAGCTGAACACATAACAACTAACCTGGATTGACCAATTCGGATACTCAAGAAAAGTACAAAGTGTCGTGCCGGGGGCCCGGGTCAGCGTCAATCCAAGTCCATTACCCGCGCCCTCAGCACGGCCAGGGCCACCTGGTATCTCAGCTGCAACGTCCATGAAACGAGAATGAGATTTTAACAGCTTCTGGGCCCTATTCAAGACTCTTGGAGACTTCCGTACTCACATACGGTACCACCACTGACTGTGTTTTTGCTGAGCACCTCAGGGCGAAGAGGCACTGGGGAAGAACGAACAGGAGCAACGCTTCTCCTCGTCTCGTACAGCGCACATGGTAGTGCCCTCCACAACTAGACCATACTGCGGGATGTCCAAGCAAAGGCAAGGCTGAGATGTATCTCCGCCTCCAGCACGACGTCGTTCCACGTGCCTTCCAAGCATCCCTCCGGGGACGCTTCCAGTGACCACGTGACCAGTTCCAGTGACTGTTCCATTCAACTTCAGTCAGGTGTAATGGTGAGACTGAGGTTAAAAGGAGTTTGCTTTTTACTGGAGAGGCTATTTGATGCGGTAGTTTTTGACGCTCCATTCGAATTCCTTGATCACATGAACGTCTTACATTGCATGGATTGTATGAAGATCAAAGGGGGTTAATAACCTAAAAGACTCCGATCGTCCTCCTTTTTTGAGACGCATACATTCTAGCCTAATTATTGGCACTGATTGGGTTTCCAAAGTCAAATTATTCTGATTGGTTTTCGTCGCCATGATATCCGGGGGGTAAAATAAGAACATATAATTGAAATGAACACCAGTGTCCATTTACCTAGGTTTTACATACATAGCTACGTATTCTGAGAATTTGATGTCACCAAGCTCTAATAATTTCTTGACATCTCGCTGGTCGAATTGAACTCCTGACTATTTGCTAAAAACTGATATCCACCTCATGTTATAATTTGTATGTAGCTCAAGGTATTCGTATGTTAAAGATATAGTACATATCTAAAGTACAGTCATTTGCCAGTCAGCAGACCATGGCAACTACGGACAACATCTGGTTAAAGCAGGCATGAGGAAACACTTCAACAGATTTGAGACGGATTAGCAAGAGGATGGAACAAAAAAGTTCAGTTACATGTCTTGTGGCATCATAATTCGTCTAATGAACAAAACTTGATGGATTAAAACAGAAAATGACTAAATCTTGCAACAAATTATGCGTTGAAAGCAGGCAAAGTTAGCAATTGGTTGCCCCACAGGAGAAACTTACTGGCTTTTAAGAGCACGCTTCTTTCCTCTCCCTACACAAAAAGCCGGCATCTTTCGCTGATACACAGAGTCATCCAACTCACCCAGAACACATAAATTTTAATCATGCCCACCAACCTACAAGATTAAACTGCGAAATAAGTAGGACGAGGTGTGCATGTTAACACAGAATTTCGATACCAAACACTTCCGTATTCGCTGCACCAGGTCTGTTCCAAATCCATGTAAGCTACGGTAATGTACCGTGATGGGATAGTGAGCCTAGAATGGCTTAGATTTGTCATTATTGAGCCCCGCCATGAGCTAAGAAACAGCTAAATGGGGGTTTTACAGGGCAAAAATGATGTTAAAAATAGGTTCCGTACTTCTAATTGTTTTCTTCATTCCCCCTGACTTATTCAGTCTTGGGTGCTTATCAAATATGCTTGGGCGACTGGAGAATAAATCCAATTCATGTGTAAAATATTTGCAAGCTTGCAGTTGGAACATTTTGAAGAGAAATTGGTCAACATTTTAAGCCATAGATGGTATCTTTAAAGGCAACCAGAAAGGAACGAAAACTTCACTTGTATCACAATTGTACGATAGAACGAGAAACCAAAGCAATCAACACGTGCCCGGGTGGCCGGCTAGATACCCCGCGCTCAGGTCGAGGGGTCAATATGACCACCACCACCACCCCCATCCCCACGCTGAGGTCTCGGAAACTAAGAAAGCTAGAGACACCAAATTTACAGGGTGCGTTGACCTGTACGTAAACTCACTTAGGTCAGAGCTTGAGGTTCCTAGGTTATGACCTTGGGGTCAAAAAAGGTCAAACAAGGTCGAATTTCAGGCTGGCCTCCAAAATGCCCCAGAACCTAGATAACTGTTTCTAAGCAAAAGTATACATCCTCATATAATGTCAGTGACCTTTTTTGGCCTTTTGAAGGTCATGGTGACAAAATCATAGAAAACTGCTCCGAGTTTTACATTTGAATAAGCGACAAAGATTACGCTAGGCAGTATGCTCCTAAAAACTAAACGTTGATAGTCATTTTAGGTCAACGACCTATTCTAACCTCTAAGAGGTCCATGAAAGATGCATAAGACGGTTCCTGCCATCAATACATTCGAAATGAGCACCAGAAACCATCCCATACAGCAAGCCCTAGAGTAATAAAAAAGGCAGGTTATGACTTTCGTATGACCTTCATACCTGACCTTAGATCAACTTGATTTGCTCATTCAATATTTGTGTTGCCTAAGAAAGCATCTCAGAGATAACGGCTTCGTCTAACACTCCGTTGTTGCGTCCGATTGAACGATTCCTTATAACTGAACTTTGCTGAGACCAGACTTTGACCTGTCATAGGTCAGTGACCTTACAAGTTACATCTAAATTTTGATGTCTAACGATCCGCTATTCCCTTGTCTACAGCTATGCGAAATTTGGCGCGGCCACGCCGCGTCGTTCAGATCCCATTCGGGAAAAGCCTTCGCGGGGGTCAATTTAACCACCCACCCCACCCAAGCGTGTGTTTAACAAAAGTATGAAGCGCCATAGATTTGGTAAAATCTGTAACTAGCTTATTTGACTACAATTCTGCGAAAATGCGTCCTCAAACGATGATATTCGACTTTACATTGCATTAGAAGACATTTCTTGAATTTTGTACTCCTGCATTTCGGGAGTGGTGCTACTTAGTGATCACGTTTCTTCGAGTAACAGAAATACATGGAGTAAAATTTTCTACCAGACTTTGCTGGTCTTTTTACCAGGTTTTGCTTTGGTGGTGTGGTGCTGCCGTCGTGCGACCAAAAAAAAAATGGGGGATGTGTGAAAACCTTGCATTTGGCACGCGGCTACAAAGTGTGATGTATTTCGTTAACAAACCAAGCTTAATGCATGCAAGCGGCTGAAGTCGCCGGGGCTTTCGGGCTTGAAGGTCACAGAGGAAGGGTCTGGTGCCCTTCCTATGTGCATACAAAGACATAATCAGATATAGGCAGGATATATCCATAGGTGTCCAGGTCCTGCGGAGCCTTGCTTATGCTTGATGGTTTCAAGTGAGTTCGGTTTTGGATGACGTCTTAAAACTTCGGAAAGAGAAACATGGGTTTGGTATCGCGGTTGGAAAGTATAGGGTAGGAGAGAAAAAGTAACATACAATATGGGAACGAGGGTTTAAAGATTATTCCCTATAAAGTGTTGCTTTACACCACACTAAGTCGGCAAATCTAGAACACTGGAATAAACTCATCATTTTAGATTTCCCAGGATACATCACCGTTATATGCATTGGCTCAGCCTCCGATGAGACCGTACGGTGAACCTCCAGCCATTGTCCAGCCGCCCTGCCAGATTCTGGCCGCCCTCCACTGACCTTGTCCGTGTAAAAGTGTAACGCTGCGGGGATGGTGAGTGTACTCCTCGCCAATTATCAGCTGGCCAGTCGGGCCGGTATATAAGGCCCCGCTGACCGGTGCAGGGCATCACTGGATCCCTGCACTCCGCAGAACACACACCATACTCCGAGATGAAGCTGGTGAGTACGTGTTCTAGAACAAGCCATTCCACTGCTGCGTCTTCTGAGAGTAGCACGCAGATAACCTGGCAAGGATATTTGTCCTTTTATAGAACATTTTTGGATACCAGAAGTTAATACAGCCTAGTGTGTTGAAACAGAACCAAAAGATGGCTTAGCACAACGTGGTAATTTGGCACAATCCCCTTTTCAAACTGAGCAAAACTACCATAACTTCGCGAGTTTCTGTACAACATCACATGTAAAAGTAACTTGATTGCTGCGCGTTCTGAGGACAGATCGTTTTGTTTCAGTTCATCGTTGCTGCCGTCCTGGCCGTTGCTGCCGCTGACAGGCGGCCTGCTCCGGCCTCATACTCCGCCCCTGCTCCGCCCTCGTACTCCGCCCCTGCTCCGCCCTCGTACCCTGCCCCTGCCCAGCCCTCGTACTCTGCCCCTGCTGCCCCCAAGTACGCCCCCAAGGTGATCGAGATCCTGAGCCAGGAGTTCGACCTGCGTGACGACCAGTCATACGACGCCAGGTGAGATGAATAAGCTTTTTTCCCCACCAGCGTTTTCACAGTTCTTATGACCGTAACTTTAAATGAAGTCATGTAAGTCGGCGGAGAATTGTTCTTGTAAATACTCTTATGCATCGTATGCAACTTTCAGGTTTCTGATCGTTTTCCGCTCTAAATTTAAGCTATTGCAGTACGGACTGTGGCTAACACCACCACATTTTTAGCTTGACCAAGGCTTTCAGTTCATTACAAAATAAATCTTATGCACTCCCAACATGATATCTATTTCCCTAAAAAGCTGTTTTCCATTCAAGCAAAGCCACGCGCCTGCTTAGCCCCGTCCCATTTTCGATGTCACCCCCTAGGGAAAGTCCCTGCTGCATTCAGTTTAGGCAACCCAAAAAGTGATAAAGAATAAAGCTGCCGCCCTCCACCCTCACCCCTCAATCTCCAAAAGTGTATGTAAAATGCAACCCTTATCTTAAACTTGCATGTCAATGTAACGCTTGGACCTTGCCGACCGCAGTGCGCTCTGTAATAACGCTTCCTTTTTCCCCAGCTACCAGACGGAGAACGGCATCTACGCCTCCGAGTCGGGCCAGGCCGTGGCCGGCTACGGAGATGAGCAGAGCTACGCCGTCCAGGGCCAGTACAGCTACACCGGCGACGACGGTGTCAGCTACACCGTGTCGTACGTGGCCGACGCCAACGGCTTCCAGCCGCAGGGTGACCACCTGCCGACCCCCGTGCCCACCGAGTACCCGACCCCTGAGGTGCCGGCGACCCAGGCTAGCTACCAGGCGGCCCCTGCCCCCAGGTACCAGCCTGCCCCTGCCCCTAGCTACCAGGCTGCCCCTGCCCCCAGCTACCAGGCTGCCCCTGCCCCCAGCTATCAGCCCGCCCCCGCACCCCAGTACCAGGCCAGATACCAGTGATTCTGAGTCAAGTCCTCTCTGTCCATCGTTGGGATAAGAGCAGTGTACACCGACTACGCTTACATGTTTGTCTATTTATTGTGATGTATGAAATGAGTGTTATGTTTGATTGCGTTGCGTGACCGTTTCGTTTCAATACATGTGCATTTCACAAGAAGTACTTCATGTTTGTTGGAGATGAAAGCAGCATGTTGAAGCCTACTGGAGCACGCTATATAAACTGGCGCTGGCCGCCGGGCTGGCGACGGTGGTCTTTTCATGTTCGCGGATGGACTCCTGTCATTCGCGTTGGAACTAAACATCCAGTGGTGTGCGACCCCAATGCGCATGTAAGTGTTGTGCTTGAAAAAATGACAGATTGTGTGAAGAATTCATGAAATGACCAAGTTGGTTATGCGGTAAAGAAATTGCACGATTGCTGAAATCGGCGGTAGGGTGATTCCAGGTCATACGTTCGGTCAATGTACTTCTTGCCCTGTTTTTTAAGGCACATCAAGGCTGTTTCTGAATTGACCGAATACGTAAGCTACAAATGTGTACCTTAAGTAAGCTATACAAAGACAGCTATGAGATGTCGACCAAAAGAACATTGGGCGCCCAGTCTCGCTCTCAAAGAAGGGCGAAACCATACATTAGTTGTCAAAGAGCCGTTGTCAAGGATTTCCTGTAAATTTTTACGCATATTGAAGTAATGAGAGAGGCTTCTGAACTTAAAGTAGTGCACCGAATGATATTCACGCGGACAAGAAAAGTACTCGCAGCACAGCAAGGTTCTCAATGCTCGGCCACTTAAAATGTAACCTGCAAAGGCCCTGGTGGCGAAAAATAATGACATACCCAGGGTTCATGAATTACAAAGACGCTGTAGTGTTATCTATGCACTTTGGAGGCAGCTGTTGATAGCACTTTGACATTGTTAAAACAGTTGTTACCACTCATTCATAAATTATAAGCTGCTGTTTCATAGGGTGGACAGAGTAGTCCACTAATGTCGTACGTTGTGATGGCACGGGTCAACAGCTGTGGCACTACCTCAGTGCTGTACTGTGGCATGACATAATGAGCAACGATATGGTTTTTGTGCTGCAATCCATGCCGCATTCATAATGAATTCTAGCATGAAAAGATGGGTCAAGCATGCGCTCTTGTATTGACTTCCCATCTGACATACGACTGACCAAAAACTCATTGTACAATTTGCAAATGACTTTCAGCAAACAGACAACCAATCAGTGGCATCACTTGCTCAGCCTGTTTTGGGAATCCACAAAACGTAGATGAGAAGGATGCAAACACATTCTCCGCTTCCACAGTCATGCAACATGCTGCATCCATCAGGCTGCTTTAATGAAAATAACAGAAAAATTTAAAGGTGGTGAATCGACACTGCAAACGTGCTGACATTGCACAAGGATGGAAACATGATAAAGGCATGTAGTTATGGCTGGATGGGATTAATGTAATTCTTCCCCTGTTTTTTAAGGCACATCAAGGCTGTTTCTGAAATGACCGAATACGTATGCTACAAATGCGTACCTTAAGTAAGCTATACAATGACAGCTATGAGATGTCGACCAACAGAACATTGGGCGCTCAGTCTCGCTCTCAAAGAAGGGCGAAATCATACATTAGTTGTCAAGTAGCAGTTGTCAAGGATTTCCTGTAAATTTTTACGCATATTGAAGTAATGAGAGAGGCTTCTGAACTTAAAGTAGTGCACCGAATGGTATTCGCGCGGAAAAGAAAAGTACTCGCAGCACAGCAAGGTTTTCGATGCTCGGCGACTTAAAAGATAGCCTAGAAGTGCCCTGGTGGCAAAAAATAATGACATACCCAGAGTTCACGACCTACACTGACGCTGTAGTGCTATCTGTGTATCTTTGGAGGCATTTTTGTGCAATGTTGTGACAATATTGTAAATTATGAGGAATATCAAGTCATGGCTTAAATTATGTATATATAAAAATTATGTTATTATGACAATCTATAAATTATGAGTGGGCAAACAAAAGCCGAAAACCAACCCCCAGTTTTTCTCATTAGATTTAGGCCACTTTATTTTGATGGTAGCCAGTACCTGCTTTTTATTGTGTATAAGTTATTAAAGTTTTTTATTTAAGTGGTATAGTAGTCATGCACAGGCCACCTCGCAGATAATTAAAACTAGTAGTTGTGTGTTGGTCAAATTTACCTGCCTTTCTGTAACCTTGCAGCCAACAGGATTGGGACACCATGCCAAACTTTGGGGGGCTCAACTCAGCATTGGAGGACGGGGGGAAAACGTTCTTGCATAGAATACAAATCGACACCCAAGACGAACATCCTAAAAAGCATGGTACCTCTACAGCACGTGTTCATGCCACAAAGGGGCATGAATGCCTCATAACCAACTCATGCGCACAAGAACATAAAAGGATATTAAAATGGCAGGAAAATAAAGGTGAAAATGAAGCGTTCCGGCATTGGTCCATCACTGCGTGCCCAACAAGCCTTTTTCTTGACATTGTCAATATCTGTCAGTAGTGCTTCGTGTGTTTCATAGATTGTTTGAGAACTGCGCTAGTCACGTGCAGTTTGTCTTAACAATGTCATATATTCGTGCACTGAGCTTTATAAGCTGAACGTGCAATAAATACTTTAAAATTGCATAAGCATTTTCTTTCGGGTTCCTCGTCAGTTCAAAGAGAACATAATTATGCGCTGGGGTAACACACGAAAACATGAATAATAGCTGGGCTGCAACGTGCCAATTTGGCGACAAACAAGGCTTACTTGATGAAATATGACGCGTTCACGCATTACATAACTATTCACCACTAGGTGAATGGCATGGAAAGCTGGACGTAGCATCATGGGCTGTGGGTTAATGCGGCTAGGAGTATTTGGTAGGATAAGGTGACATTTGCTTTTGATGTTGTTAATCTCTTCAACATTCTTTGGACGTAACTTTTGGTATTAATTATCGTCGAAGCGTCGAACCTGTACATAACATTATGGGCTGTGGATTAATGTGGCTAGAGCATTTGGTAGGAGAAGGTGACCTTTATTTTTGATGCTGTTAATCTCTTCAACATTCTGATCTGGGATGATGAAACGGACGACTAGTCGTTACCACAATAGTTAATGAGCACGCGGTACGAGCTGTTCCGAAAGTAGCGCACTGAAATATTTCCTGCGATGTCGGCCTTGGGAACAGCTGGCAAATGCTGTTAAAGGGAATGTTCCACATTTGAAGATATTGAGGTAGGCATCGGATATAATGGAAAAAAATTACTTGTAACTATCGGTAAGCTTTCAAGGTTCAAAAACGAAGCTAAGTAGCCAAATTTCAAAATTTGTAAAAGTGCGCCCCATTGCATCATTGTTTGATGGCGTCACGGAATGGTTCTGTAACGACAGCAATACCTGGCAGCAACTGGCAGCCAGACCTAAAGAATGCCTCGAAACACACGAAAGCTAAGGCTAACTGGCCATTCTCGTCGCGGGGGTCAAGTCGAATGGCGGATTAGTGGGTGGTTTGCTTGTGGATTTTTGTTTTTGTCTGGGCGCTGGCTGTAAGAAAAGCTTTGGTGGACTGTTTGACGTACGCAACGTAGCGCTCGCCAGCTTTTATGGCAGATTATTAATACCAAAGCACGATATCCTGTACTGCTGCTGTTGCTGCTATGCTCTTGATGACTTTGTAAATACTTTATTGTCGACCCATCGTTGCCTGCAGTGCTGTAGTCATGACATTGATATCATGTGATGTCTTAGCACGGACAGAGCCACCTGGCATATTAGTTAGTTCGCTCAAGAAACGAGAACGAGGTTTTAAACACCTCCTGGGCCTCTTCGACTCTTGGAGGCTTCTGGATCCCACATACGGTCCGGTCATTGCATACCACCACCGACTGTGCTCTTCCTTTAGCACCTCAGGGCGCAGAGGCGCTGGGGAAGAAGGAACAAGAGCAACGCCTTCTCCTTGTTTCGTACAGCGCACACGTCAGTGCGCCATACGACTAGATCACTGCGGGTGGTCCAAGCAGAGGTACGGGCGAGATGCGTCTCCGCCTCCAGCACGACGTCGCTCCACGCGCCGTCCAAGCACCCCAGGGAACGCTTTCAGTGACGTCTCTAATATACGTTATATTTTCATTGATGTGGATTGTTCCTGTGGGATTCAGCAATGACTTCCAGTAACGTCACGGTGGGAAGGGACGGCGCCACAAATTTTGAGGTCGGTGAGGGGGCAAGAGTTTCCAGGAACATCCTGAAATAAATGGGACCTCTTTACAAAGAAGCCTCCTGAGTGGTGTCGTGCTCAAGGGGACCGGCACGGAGGGGCGTGCCTACTAATCACATTGCTACATCCACCGTATCAAAGTACGTCAATGTCCATAATTCAAAATGTAAAATGAGGCGTTCTGACATCAACCCACGACATTATTATCCTAAGATAGGGCCTCTTGTTGTAGAGAAGGACGTTCTGATGCATACAAGGGCCTTCTAATCCAGAACGGCAAGGTTCTGATTCACGAAGAAGCCTCCAAATCCGACTAAGAGGTCTTACCATCCCGTAACAGGGGATCCTGGTTCAGGCCGCGTTCATCTGATGCCCTACAGGGCCCCCGTTGTCAAGAAGTGGGGCCTCCTGAATGCAGAGCGTGTTCTGCAACCCAGAACGGGGGTCTATTAGTTGGTAACGGGTGCTTCTCGAGCAAGGAAACGGGCCCCTTGAACATATTATTGGGCCTACAGTTCGAGAATATGCGTTAGGTTATTCATAAATGTAACCTTATGATGCAGAAAACGGGCCTCGATATAGGAGGGCGTCTTTTGAGCCCCATTCGTTACTCTTCAGCTTAGTTCTGGGGCCCCCTTCAGCTGAATTTCGGTAATCCTCAGGTAGCTACAATGCCTTTATTTTTGGAAACAGCGGCCTCCCAAAAAATTCAATGGGGCAAAAACTTGAGCAACCGATCATTTGGCATAAATATTTCGATGAACCTTGTCAGATCGCTGAACTATGGCAGGTCAAGGTCAGGCCATGGCTGTCAGCGAAAACAGTTGCTAATAAACCGCCCAAGGTGATTCGACAACGAAGTGTTGAGCGAAGCCATACCTCTATGGGATGGTTAATTTTACATTTACACTTGGGTTTGTGACT